ATAACCGATTGACAAAAATGTGACAGTCCAGACGGACAGCCAAGTTGTGATAGTTTCAGGTGGACACCACCAGGACTCAGCCATACACATACACGGATCCATTCTCTCCCAAACACCCCTCCCATCCAGGCTGCCAAGGAACACTGAGCAGAGCTCCCTGTGCTGTACCGTACATCCTCGTTACATAATCCTGGATATCTCAAGCCAGGAAGAATGAATTCGCTGTACAGGGCAATATTGAGATAGTAGATAAAATTTGAATAGGAACTCTGGACAAACGAGCTTTCTGTGTATCCTGGCAATAAGGCAACTGTGATTAAAAAAGAATTTTAAAATAGACTTTTAATATCCTAGCAGAATCCACAGTGTAGGAAATCCAGAAATAGCTAAGAGTAATTAACTCTAAAGAATTAAAAGGATGGACTGGAGCAGAGGAATGAAACCTCCAAATACTACGTATTTGATTTTGGAGTTTAGGTTTTTATTTTATGTCAATGAAAAAGATCTCATAACAAAATTCAAAGGTTGAGAAATCACATCCTTATAGTCTTTGTTTTGAAAGTCTTTAAAGTTGGTTTTCTTTCTTTTCTAATTAATTAATTAATGTGGAGATGCTGTGATAGTTCTTCCTGGCTGTGTGTAGGCTTTCTCTAGTTATGGCAAGAAGGGGCTACTCTCTAGTTGTGGAGCTTGGGCTTCTCATTGCAGTAGCTTCTTCTTGTTGTGGAGCACAGGCTGCAGGGCACTCAAGCATCAGTAGTTGCAGCACACAGGCTCAGTACTTGTGGGGCATGGGCTTAGTTGCCCTGCAGCCTGTGCAGACCAAGGATTGAACCTGTGTTTCCTGCTTTAGCAGGTATATTCTTAACAACTGGACCACCAAGGAAGTCCCTAAAGCTGTCTTTCATATTGAACTGTCAGGAAGGTAGCTGGCTACCCATCACCTTCAGACAGAGTAGCTCTGTTTACCTGGCCACTGCCAACACATGAGTCATGGAATCAGACTGCAACATGCCTACAGCTTGTCTTATTATTTAACCCATCTCTTAAGAAAACACACCCATGGGGAAAAATACACGCTCTCCCAGCCAATCATTTTAGCGTCAGTACCGAATTGCAAACAGAAACAGCTGCATTTCTTAAGCAGTCTGACTAGCGACTTCAGTGATTCTATGCAAGGCTGTAACATGTTTTTGCTATCAGTTATTTCAATGCAATTTTAGATAAGAATCCAAAATTAACTGTGATCTATGGGTATTGTAATCACAAGCCACTCCAGTATTCTTGCCTGGGAAATCCCATGCACAGAGGAGCCTGGCGGGCTACAGTTCATGGGCTTGCAAAAGAGTCAGACATAACTTAGCAAGTAAGCAACAACAATAAATGGGTACTGTAACATTTATCTGGAAAAAATGCAAACCTAGAAGTGGTTTGACTGGGCTTCCCACTTGATGAAAATCTAGATTCTTCTAACTTGTCAAAGAGATCAAGAACTACTAAAAGTGTCTAAATTATGGAAAGGACCAATTTAGTGGTTTTGTTAAAAAGAAATGAAAGTAAATGTGTCATAATAAATTCAAAATATTTAATCATTCATTTTTTTTTAATTGACTTCTCTCCTAAAATTAAAATTTATTTGCTTTCATTTCTTCTTCAAAAACTGAGTTTAGCTGAGGTCCTGGGAATAACTTAGTGGTTTACTTTAGATTAAATAAGCTGAAAATTCACTAAATATCAGCATTAAATATTTTAGAAAATAGTTTGCATAGGAACATATTTTTAAATTCCATAAATTTAATCTACTAAAGTCTAAAATTCAGCTCAGAGATTTTTTTTGACAGATTAGTGCAGAGAAAAATGAAAGCAATCAGCTTATTTCCTTGCACATCTATAAATGCATAACCTCTGCACAGTGCATCATGAAGCCTGTTACATCCACATCTGAGAAGGAAACACAATTGGTAATTGTAATGATATTGATGTCTGATGAATGAAAATGTGGTCATTGTATAACAAAACAATTTAAGGGAATTTATTTGCGCACTACTTGTTGTATATGTGAACCAAGTCAAACACAAGAAACATGATTTCCTTGTTCTGGAAGAATAAATGGAATATAAATAAACATAGAACAAATAAAAAGTAATTAAATATTTTCTTATTTGAAATGAATATATAATGATAAATATAAAAGAAAACACTACGCAAGAAAAATACTTCTTTACTTAACCACATCCTCTGGGCAGTATTGTGAAAAATTTCCTCACTAAACAGAAGGAAGAGACTGAAAAAAAGTGAAGTATTAATGCCCATTTCCTGTGCACTGATTCAATGTGCTCAGTTGCTCAGTTGTGTCCAACTCCTTTGGCCCCAGAGATTGTAGCCTGCCAGACTCTTTTGTCCATGGAATTCTACAGGCAAGAATGCTGGAGTGGGATGACATTTCCTTCTTCAGAGGAGCTTCTCAGCTCAGGGATGGAACCCAGCCTCCTGTGTCTCCTGCATTGGCAGTCAGATTCTTTCTGTCCATATAGTGATCCCCTTTCCCAGTTACCTTCCCCCGTGCCCTTCCTATCTGTCAGCCACCACTGTGTTCTCTGTGTCTTTATTTTTGCTTTGTTTCAGTTCAGTCACTCAGTCATGTCCAACTCTTTGCAGCCCCATGGACTGCAGCATGCCGGGTTTCCCTGTTCATCACCAACTCCCAGAACTTGCTCAAACTCATGTCGATTGAGTTGGTGATACCATCCAACCATCTAATCCTCTGTCATCCCCTTCTCCTCCTGCCTTCAATCTTTCCCAGCATCAGGGTCTTTTCCAATGAGTCAATTCACATCACATGGCCGAAGTACTGGAGCTTCAGCTGCAGCATCATTCCTTCCAGTAAATACTCAGGACTGATTTCCTTTAGGATTGACTGATTTGATCTCCTTGCAGTCTAAGGGACTCTCTAGAGTCTTCTCCAACACCACAGTTCAAAAGCATCAATTCTTTGGTGCTCTACTTTCTTTAGGGTCCAACTCTCACATCCATACATGACTGCGGGAAAAACCATAGCTTTGACTAGACAGACCTTTGTTGGCAAAGTAATATCTCTGCTATATAATAAGCTGTCTCAGTTGGTCATAGCTTTTCTTCCAAGGAACAAGCGTCTTTTTCATTTCATGGCTGCAATCACTATCTGCAGTGATGTTGGAGCCCAAGAATATAAAATCTGTCACTGCTTCCATTGTTTCCCCATCTATTTGCCATGAAGTGATGTGACTGGATGCCATGATCTTCGTTTTCTGAATGTTGAGTTTTAAGCCAGCTTTTTCACTCTCCTCTTTCACTTTCATCAAGAGGCTCTTTAGTTCTTATTTGTTTTCTGCCATAATTGTGGTGTCATCTGCATATCTGAGATTATTGACATTTCTCCTGGCAATCTTGATTCCAGCTTGTGCTTCATCCAGCCCAGAGTATATGATGTACTCTGAATATAAGTTAAATAAGCAAGGTGACAGTATACAGCCTTGATGTACTTCTTTCCTGATTTGGAACCGGTCTGTCGTTCCACGTCCAGTTCTTTTTTTTTTTTTTTGAAACAGCTTTTTATTAAACAGCAAAGCGTAACTGCAACACAATTTTAAATGTTTGAAAATTAGATCACAAAGAGATGCAAAATGTTTGCAGTATGACTATTATATATTCAAACAGCTAAAGTCATCAAATCTTACACCAACACAAACATAAGATTATTCCATGATTAGCCTAAATTTAATAACTATAAACTATATTAGTGGATTTCTTTTCCTATTTAAGATTTTAATTAACACTACTGATTTCCTTACCAAATGGAACCTACTCAACTAAATTTTAAAAAACAGTTAAATGACTAAAATTCTGCAAACCAGTAGTTGGGTTTGCAGAGATGTCTGGGAGAAGTAGGTAAAATACTGAGAAATCATCAATTAGTTTACATGTAAAACTCTCCCATCTTATTCATGACTCTGATACTAATCCACTCTTAATGGGCTTTACAAAGTTGATCTGCTGGGTACTACAAATAAACCTGAGACCAAACTCTATTCTCTTCCAGGTGTGGTTTACATAAGGTTAGCCAAACTTAATCCATTTTTAAAAATATTCCTTCCAAAATCCAATCTGTGCCGGAGAGAACATAAATCTGGAGTAGAAACATTTGCAGTTGGTTACAGGTACTTACCAAGTAGTTTTCCCATCCTATTTCTATTTTTCCTCAAAAATTTCTATTTCAAACACACACACAACCAGAATTCATCTTTTCAGATACCAAGTGGGTTATTTTGTGCAAAGGAAGTTTTTAATAAAAAATCTTCCCCATACTATAATTCAAAGAAAAATCTTCATTTTTATAGCCTTCATTTTCAATTAATGAAAGAGAAAACTAGTATCCTTACTACTAAACAGTAAATAAGCCCTAACTGAGAAAGTATCTTATTTTGGTTAAGTTTCAACAGTTAAGAGTTCAGGCTACTCTCCTAGATGATCAGCTACTGAAATTACTTTTTACAGATGTGAAACCAATTTTTTCCTTAGGGGAAGGAAAAACAGCAAGAAAGCAAATGGAAAAGAGGCACACGATGGTAGACAGGGTACATAAAGCTGTGCATTCAGTACATGATTTTGGTTACTTTTTCACAACACAGTAGTTATTTGCTTGTATCTCTATGCCTAAATATAAGACAATGCTAACCCTGTAGATCGAAACAAATTTGATAAAACATTCATTTTCAAGTTTCATAAATATATGCATTTCTAATTATAAAGTCTCTACATTTGCACATTTTCATAGACTAACATAAAACACAAACTCATGGAAGTCTTCTGTTATGCTCTTAATTTTTCCTAGATCTGACATTATCTTCATAAATACTCAGTGAAGCCACAAACAAAAGTACTATAACTTTGGGGCTCTATCCAAGTTTTAAAGGAAAAAAAGATCAGCAGCAATTCCGTAGGACATAAGAGATATCAATCCCTTATTTTCTTTTGGTTTTTGTGTCCGTTGTTTGAAAAACACTAGAAGCTGACATGAGATTTTCTATATATTGTCCGAGAACTTGGTTTTCTGATTTTAGCTTCAGATTTTCTTCCTTAACTGCATCTACTCTTGCAGACAGATCTTCAAGTGTGTGTTGGAGTTCCAACACTTGATTAATAAGTCGTGTTTTTTCCTCCAGTTCCACTTGATTTTCAGCATCAACTGCATCCATGTCAGCATTCATCGTCTTAGGTAACAAACTTCTGTGCCTTGGATACAAAATTCTTGATGAATGCTCTGCCTTCTGAGGCGCCGGCAGGGGGAGGGTTCAGGAGGCCTCAGGCCTGGACACTTGGACCAACTGGCACCTGGCAGCCCTGCCCTCTCCGCCCACAGAGCGTGCGCTGAGACAGGAGTCCTGCCCCTCCCACGTCCAGTTCTAACTGTTGTTTCTTGACCTGCATACAGATTTCTCAGAGGCAGGTAAGTTTGTCTGGTATTCCCATCTATTTAAGAATTTTCCAGTTTGTTGTGATCCACATAGTCAAAGTCTTTAGCATGGTCAACAAAGCAGAAGTAGATGTTTTTCTGGAATTATCTTGCTTTTTCTGTGATCCTACAGATGTTGGCAATTTGCTCTCTAGTTCCTCTGCTTTTTCTAAATCCAGCTTGAACATCCAGCAGTTATCAGTTCACGTCCTGTTGAAGCCTCACTTGGAGAATTTTGAGCATTACTATGGTAATGTGTGAGATGAGTGCATTTGTGCAGTAGTTTGAATGTTCTTTAGTGTTGTCTTTCTTTGGGATTGAAATGAAGACTGACCTTTTCCAGTCCTGTGGCCACTGCTGAGTTTTCCAAATTTGCTGGCATATTGAGTGCAGCACTTCCATAGCATCATCTTTTAGGATGTGAAATAGGTCAGCTGGAATTCCATCACCTTCACTAGCTTTGTTCATAGTGATGATTCCTAAGGCCCACTTGACTTCACGTTTCAGGATATCTGACTGTAGGTGCATGATCACACCATCATGGTTATCTGGGTAGTGAAGATCTTTTCTGTATAGTTCTTCTTGCCACCTCTTCTTAATATCTTCTGCTTTTGTTAGGTCCATACAGTTTCTGTCCTTTACTGTGCCCATCTTTGCATGAAATATTCCCTTGGTATCTCTAATTTTCTTGAAGAGATCTCTAGTCTTTTCTATTCTATTCCTTTCCTCTACTTCTTTCCATTGATCACTAGGGAAGGCTTTCTTATCTCTCCTTGCTGTTCTTTGGAACTCTGCATTCAGATGGGTGTATCTTTCCTTTTCTCCTTTGCCTTTCACTTCTCTTTTCTCAGCTATTTGTAAGGCATCCTCAGACAACCATTTTGCCTTATTGCATTTCTTTTTCTTGGAGATAGTTTTGATCATAGCCTCCTGTACCATGTTGCTGTGACCAGTGCGTTCTCTTGGCAAAACTCTGTTAGTTTTGCCCTGCTTCATTTTGTACTCCAAGGCCAAATTTGTCTGTTACTCCAGGTATCTCTTGAGTTCCTACATTTGCATTGCAGTCCCCTATGATGAAAAGGACATCTTTTTTTGTTGTTAGTTCCAGAAGGTCTTGTAGGTCTTCATAAAACCATTCAACTTCAGCTTCTTCAGCATTAGTGGTTGAGGCTTAGACTTGAACTCCTGTGATATTGAATGGTTTGCCTTAGAAACAAAGAGAGATCATTCTGTTGTTTTTGAAATTGCACCCAAGTACTGCATTTCAGACTTTAGTTGACTATGAGGACAACTCTATTTCTTCCAAGGTATTCTTGCCCGCAGTAGTAGATATAATGGTCATCCAAATTAAATTCACCCTTTCTGGTCCATTTTAGTTGATTGATTCCTAAAATGTCAACATTCACTCTTGCCATCTCCTGTTTGACCACTTCCAATTTGTCTTGATTCATGAACCTGACATTGCAGGTTCCTATGCAATATTTTTCTTTACAGCATTGGACTTAACTTTCATCACCAGTGATATCCACAGCTGGGTGTTGTTTTTGCTTTGGCTTGGCCTCTTCATTCTTTCTGGATCTATTTCTCCACTCTTCTCCAGTAGCATATTGGACACCTACCAACCTGGGGAGTTCATCTTTCAGTATCCTATCATTTTGCCTTTTCATACTGTTCATGGGGTTCTCAAGGCAAGAATCCTGAAGTGGTTTACCATTCCCTTCTCCAGTGGACCAGGTTTTGTCAGAATTCTCCACCATGACCCGTCTGTCTTCGTTGACCCTACATGTTATGGTTCATAGTTTCACTGAGTTAGGCAAGGCTGTGATCCATGTGATCAGTTTGGTTGTTTTCTATGATTGTGGTTCTCATTCTGTCTGCCCTCTAATGGATAAGGATAAGAGGCTTGTTGAAACTTCCTGATGGAAAGGACTGGTTGTGGGGGAATCTGGGTCTTGCTCTGTTGGGTGGAGCCTTGCTCAGTAAATCTTTAATCCAATTTTCTGCTGATGGGAAGGGCTTTCCTGGTGGCTCAGTTGCTAAAGAATCTGCCTGCAATGCAGGAGACCCAGGTTCAATTCCTGGGCTGGGTTAATCCCCTGGAGAAGGAAATAGCAACCCCCTCCAGTGTCCTTGCCTGGAGAATTCCATGGGCAGAGGAGCGGGTGAGCTATATATATAGTCCATGGGGTCGCAAAGAATCAGACACAACTGAGCAACTTTCACTTTCACTTTCTGTTGATGGCTGGGGCTGTGTTCCCTCCCTGTTCTTTGACCTGAGGCCAAACTATGGTAAGGGTGATGCCCCATGGCTCCCAGGACAGTTATATTCAGTGCCCCATGCCTTCACTGGACACTCACAGGAAAGTTTGGCTCAGTCTGTTGTGGGCCTTAGAACTTTTGCAACAGTATGAGAACTTCTTTGGTATAATTGTTATCCAGTTTGTGAGTTGTCTGCTTGATGGCTCTATGGTGGGGCTAATGGTGACCTCTTCCAAGAGGATTTATGCCACACGCAGCACCTCCTAGGTCTGCTGCAGCCAGAGCCCCTGTCCCTGAGGCAGGTCACTGCTGACCTGTGCCTCAGCAAGCAACACTCAAACTCAAAGGCAGGTCTGGCTGTCTCTTGTAGGGTCTCTGGGTCCTGGCATGCACAAATGTTTTGTTTGAGCCCTCCAAGCATCTCTGGAGGGCATGGGATTTTATTCTAAATGTGATTTTACCCCTCCTACTGTCTTGGTGGGGCTTCTCCTTTGCCCTTGGATGTAGGTTATCATTTTCTGGTGGAATCCAACATTCTGTTGATGGTTGTTCAGCAGTGAGTTGCAATTTTGGAATTCTCACAGGAAAGGATTCACACAGTTCTTCTACTCCACTATCTTTTCATAAGTCTACCCTGCCCCTTGTTTTGTTTAGTTGGTTCAATTATTTTGTTGTATGTTTGTTCTTTTATACTGCACATATGAGTGAAATCATATAGTATTTGTCTTTCTCACTCAACTTATTTCACTTAGTGTAATATCCTTAAGATCCATGTGGAAATGGAAAGATTTCCTCTTTTATGGCTGAATAGTATTCCATGATGTCTGTGTATGTGTGTGTCCACATAAAGCTTAAAGTGATGCCATCCCTGCATTCCTAGAGCTTGCACAGTTCAGGAGAGAGGCATGCACACCACAACACATCAGTAGTGTGTAAGTATGACGACCAAGGTATTGTCGGGGGCTGTGGGATCACCAAAGTGGAAGTCTTATCTTGCCTGGAGAAGGCACAGAACATTTCATGAAGCAGGTACATTTTAGCTGAGTAACAAGCAACTACAAGGAACGCCCTGTGCAGTTGCCCGAAAAACCCTTGCAAAGGTGTGGAAGAGAATAAAGCATGCCATATTTTGAAAACCTAAATGTTTCAGTGGTGCTAGAGTATGAAAGGGAAAAGTTAACAACATACCATTATATTAACTATATTTAGGAATCACTGAAATATTTTTATTGGTTTTTTCACTATCAATTAAATTAATTCACATTCATCAATAAATGTTTTTAAATGGAAGAAACATAAAGAAGAAAATTAAGCCTACTTTATAACCTATCGCTAAATAATCATGTGACTTATATATTTTATACCATAGTTCTGCTTCTAATAGCCTTTCCAGGCTACTGATCAGAGAAAGGGGATGATAAATACTGCCCCCAATTCTCCTGAAATCAATCATATATCCCACACTTCTCACCAGAATCTTCTCCACTTATTTTCCACATCAATCATTTCTTCTCTCAGTTTTGGTTCCTTTGGGTTGATTCAATTTCCCTACACTCTGCAGACATTTCTTGAATCTTGTGGTATGAAGTTGCCATTTTCTTATCTTGGTACACTAGTAAACATAGTTTTTTTTTTCTTTTCCTGTTATTAATATTTCCTCCTCTTGTTTTTCTTGTAACAAGATTGATCAGTAGCTGAGAAGGGTTTTTAGAAGTTTGCTCACAGAAGCAGCTGTGCTGGGAATCCAGAGCATACTGTCTGGTTTCCGTTCATAATAAGCACATATAAGTGGCATTACTGGGCTAACAAGTGCTGTGTAAAGTTGTCTGGTCCACAAGGCAAACTGCTTTCTGGAGAAATAGCAATATTCAGTTCCATAGGTACTGGATGAATGCTATTATCTGGCGTTCCTACTAACTCTATGTGTCATCTTTAATCTTTGCAAACAGTTGAAGAATTTCAAAGAGTGATGCTATCAGGACTGCCCTTTATTCCTATCGCTTTTCCTGCAGTGTCGGGGACAGATAGGAGGTGCCGGGGTGTGGTGCCATTGTAGTCAGGAAGACAAGGAGGTTAGTGAAATAATCTAGAAGAGAAATTAACCAAGGAAGTGACAAGAAGAAAATGAGATAAGGAAACAGATTTGAGAGATAATAAGAAAGTACAAGCATTGTAACCAAGAACATGTTGCTAAGAAAGAGATGAAAATTCATTTTGAAAATGGCCATTGTCTATAAGACATGCGACACACTTGGGTGCATGTAAATCTCACAACAAATTTAGGAAATCAGTTTTATTACTCTGATAGCTTGGGTTTGTAAAATAGGTTAAAGTACGCATTTAGGAAGTTGCTTTGTAAGGATCCCATTGGTGACTAACCCACACTCATGTGGATGCTATCTCCCCACACCACACTGGACCACACTGGCTTCTGAAATGAGGCCTTCTTTGCTAATGTGAGCGCCTGGGTATTGAAAGAAATTTCTGCCTCCAACT